TAAATATTTTTTCAGGAGATTTAGCCATAAGATTTGTGCAATATTGTTGAAGTACTAATAAAGAGTTAGATTGTAAACTTGTTCGGTAAATATGTTCAAAACATTGTTCCATCCACTCAGATTTATTTTCAATCAAATATTTTTGCAAATAATCAATTAGCTCTTGAAGAAATAGTTGATCAGCAGCAACCAAAACTTTTAAAATTTCAGAAGGCTCCTGCTCATTTAAAGAAATGATACCACCATAAATATATCTAAATAATAAAAAAAAAAGATTTATGATAAATTCTGAAATATGAAATATTTATTATCCTAATAGAAATTATAATATAACTTACTTTAAAATGATATGAAAAATTTCTGGTGAAATATTTGAGAATTTAATGTGAGTTAAGACATTATTATCATTTTTTTTGTTAGAAGACAAAGTTCGGCGTAAAAAAAAAAAAAAAAAAAAAAAAAAAAAAATAATTAAGGTTACGAATTTAAATGATCCAACAGATGACATCCTTTTTAAGAATATAGGCTAACCACGTTAATACTTCATCCACTTTTAATGATCAACGGATTAGGATTATTACGTAAAAATTATAAAAAAAAACCAAAAAAAAGTATTAATAGTAAGTCTAATGCAAATATAGGAATCTGATTTATCATAATTAATTACTTAATTTTACGAAGCACTATTATTATTTTTTTTATTGTAAGTTAAAGTTAGGCATAAAAATGATTATTTATCGGATAAGAAATTTTTTATAAATAAATAAATATGTGTTGATTTGCGTCAATTGATAACTAACGTCGGAGGTTGGTTGACGCGCCACAGCCGTCACATGCTATATCGCCACAACATTTTTTTTCTATCAAGTAAATTTATATATCACAACAAGTTATCCTTTTTTTTTGTAAACAATAATTTTATTAGTGGTACCAACGCCAAGTTCATATAAAACCTTTTGATACCGCAATTCCTTTGGTTGCACACTATAATAACAGTTTGTATAACAGTTTCGAAAATCGAAATAAATGTTCGGACCAAGTATACCGTCTTTACAATTAATGCTACACAATAAAGCCAAATAATATTGTATCCAGGATAGATAACGCAAAATTATAAGATTGGTTTTCATATCATAATTTGCTTTTTTGACGCGTTCGTCCAGGTTTTTATACCAATAAAATTTATATTTATTATAACTATTTGATCAATAATTTCATATGTTAAATATTTCGTATTGCGAATTTATAATAAATCATAGTTAAATGATACATAATTATTAAATAAGTCTGGATTTTGACGTGAGAAATCAATTGAATATTGCCAATTATTTTTTTTTTTCATTTATATAACGTTATAAAATTTCACTTTAAAGCAAGCATGTTCTATTATATTAGGAATTATTATACGGTTACATATGACCATAACATGAGATTAAAAATTATAGCATCGGATAAATTATATATTATTTATTATTTATTATTGCTGTTAGTAGGAGGAGTTATTCATTTTGCAATAAACACTATTATTTAAAAGTAAAAAGTTATATTGCAATTATTAAAAGTATTTCCTTGTAAGAATTTTTAATAGTCTTGATAAACTTTTCTATTATGGTCAGATCGTACGATAATAATATTATAATACGTGAACAATATCACATATTTTACATATTTTTCATGGATTAATGGATGATCGGCTATAAATTTTCATTAATGCACACAGAATTTAAATTTTCTGTTAGGGAATTACCTCACATATGTATTTTCTCTTAATAGGTAATTTCCCAAGTCTACAGTTACTCTTTATTTTCACCGTTTACGTACACTTTTAAAAGACAAATTATTGGCGCTTTATACAAAAATATAAAAATAGACGTGTTTTTCCATTTTTAAAGGTTGACAAATAAATAAATTAAATTTGAATGTGTATTTAATTTAAGAAACTAACCAAATCGTCAAATATTTATGCAATATTTTTTAAATAATAGAATAATCTTAGATTAATTAAAATTTATTTAACCATTTTGCTCATCCATTAAAAAAAATTTACTAATTGTAAGGTATAAGGCTTACGTGATCTACCTTGGATTTTTCATACACTGCAATAATCCTTGTAAAGGATTTAATCCTAATACTCAAAAAACATTTCAAGGTTCATGTAATTGTGCTTAAGTTATGTCAAAATCCTGATTTCGATGTAAAGAACATGAAAAAGAACATTAATCAAACATACTCAAGCAATAGAATCTCACGTGACCATCGTTTTTAAGATGACCAATTAAAGAAACTTTACTTCCGATAACAACGAAAAGAAGAAGGTTCCACTCCACTAAAAAAATCCACAAAAAATTTTATGGTGTTAGCTACACCATTAAACATACGACACTTCAAAGCTGAACTGAAGGTAATAACTTACATCTGGGATAGAGAAAAACTCCCAAGAAGTTACCGCGTAACTACCACAAACAATCAGAAAATTTTAAAGGAGATGCTAAGATTTACACCTATTTGACCCTATAAAAAATCTATGTACGGAAATGACACGTTTTGTATTCATTTTATATGTGGTTGTATAAATTCCGTATCACAAAAAAAAAATAAAAAAAAAAAATAAATTCCGTATCACAATTCCGTATATTTCATAAGTAATTTATTTTTGAAGATTTTTTAAAAAATTAATGTATACGGAATGAAAATTGTGTATACGGAATTTATACTGAATTTTTAAACTTAATAATTATCATTATTCCGTTTATTTATTTTTTATTTATTTTATGTGAAGTTGGCAAGGGCATCAAAGGAGTATAATCTACCCAAAGGGTAAGGAAACTCCATTATAGGACCTGTCATCCGTCAAGGCCGGAAAAAAAACCAACCAGTCCGGACCCTTACTTCTAATTAAAAGAACCCTAGGACCTATCCAAAATTACAACCAATTGAGGATAGTAATAACGAACCGAAAAAAAAATATACAAATGAGAAAACTATATTAAGGATTCTATATATTTAGAAATGTAGGAACTAGACGTTATAAATAAAAATAAAACTATTGTCTATGTTAATGTGAATGAATAATTATTAAAAACATTAGATTCTAAATGATTATAAAAACCTCCACTATGTGAAAAATTAGAAGAAAATAAAATATATAAAAAATCTTGAAGTTTAAAATTTCTAAAATCATTAAAAGGGTTAATATAATTAGATTCATTGGATCGATGTAGTGCTCCTACCGGGTCAGATTCGGTCGGGTTTGGAGAATATATCCGACTCGACCCGGCGAAAATAGAAATGACCCGATTTTAACCTGACCCGAATATATTTAATTCGAATAACCCGGTTTAGACCCAAGATTTTAGTAATTTTCATTGGATAATATACTGTACGCTTAGTAATATATCAGAAATATTTTTTTCAAATATAATTTTTCAATAACGCAAGGAAGTTGATCTACAAGATAATCATATACATAGGTCTCACAACTTTTTATTGTTAAACTAATGCTAAGCACGAATTTAAAGATATCTTCAATTCCTATTTTATATTTGAACTATAAAATCGAAATTGTATCACTTACTTTAACAGAAATTTGACTATGTTTTGTGTCTGCCAGGACTTTAAACACATGCATGTCAGTTCCACTAAAATCGATTTTGGTATGTCGACAATCCATAATCATTTGTTTAGAAAATTATTTGATTAGAACATTGCAAAACTTGCAATACCATGGTTTTTAAATTAATAAAATACCTTGCAACATTGTAAAAGCAAATTTGCTGCTGATATGTAAATTTCACTATTATTAATCATTTCAAGTACGCCAAATATCTGATCCATTTCTAAAGCAGTTTCAAGGACAACATAAGAGAAACTATAAAAAAGAAGTGAACTTAGTATTGTTCAAAAAAAAAAAATACCAACTTATTATCTATACATGAATTATATTGTAACTTTATAATTTATACATTTATGACTATTTTAAGTTTTTTAGCCGTAACTTGTCGAGTTGCAGGATTAATGAGTTTAAATCAACATGATTATAATTTCTTTATTTTGTAGGATTTAACTCTTTGTTGAAATTGGCTTAAAGGTATATTGAATAAGCTAAGGGTATGAGTGATGAGGGTGATTTTATTTATTTATTAGAAATGTTTCATTGACATTTTTCTTTTTCATTTTTTTGCAGGTTGAAATGTGGACAATATTCTTTCAACTTAAATTTCAAATCGTTTAGTATTTTTAAAGTAGTTGAGTATTTAATATTTTTAAATAAATTCTACAATAAATTTTACAGTATATTTTTCAATATGTTAAATATATATGTTAATAAATTAATATTACAATTAATGTTATATTAAAATGTCCCTACAAGACCAATAACGAGTATCTTAACATGGTTTGTATATAATGTACTGTAATATTAATTTTAAAATACATTTTAAAAATTTTAAGTTATTAGCAAAGTAGTCTTAAGCAGTCTGGCCACATATAAACCTAATCTAGTTTATTATATAAAATTGTTGTAATGAATTAAATTTGCCTCTGATGATTCGAACAATATAAAAAGTTGGTTGAAACGCTATTTTTACATTTGAAGAGAAAAACCTGGAGATACTGTATATCAACGTCGGTTCTTACCGTTATTGATGAACCAAATATTGAATGATGGAAAAAATTGTATGTAGGAATTGTGGATGTGCCAACTCAAATAACTCCTTTATTGACTAATTATCATCAATTTTAACCAAATTAAAACGTAGTAAATATATCACTAACATAGGATTGCTTCCATACTGCATTATTTCAAATTATTAACAATTAATAAATTTATTTTTTTATTTATTTTTTTAGCAATTTTATTTTCAAAACCCTTAATCAGACTTCACAATAGATTGTTAAATATATAGATTTTATTCAAAAACAGAAAAACAGAGTAGAAACATGAAGATAATATTTGAGAAAAATAATATGTTAATTTAACAATTGCGTAAAAATATATAATTTTAAATATTATCATCTTTCTTTTTAATTTGAAATACTTCATAATCTTCTATTGAAAAGTAATCTTCTGTGTTTCTTAACTTTTCTTTATAACTTGATTGTTTACATCGACAAAACTCATAATCTTTTGAACCATCATTCTTCCTTTTCACATACAAACAAATGTCATTACTAAATGTGGGCCCATACATATCTTTATAAAACAATGCACTACTTGCATCATCTACACGGCTTAAAATTAAATCTTTAAAATTAACCTTATTTTTAAAAGAAAATATGAAACTATCTTTGGTTTTACAATATCCACCAGATGATTTCCATTCTAAAGGATTATATCCTCCAATAATTTCTTCTGTTCTTCCTATTTTAATAAATGTTACAGTATGAGGTATACCATCACATAATTCATGAAACTTTTTAGGAGTAAATCCATCTCGGCTTCCTCTTAATAATAATTTAAATTCGTATGGTAAATATAACTCTCTTGTGTGAGCAAATTTACTTCCAATATCATTATCAATCCATCTTGAAATTAAAGATACAATATTTAAATTAACAATTTTTGAATCAATAATTCCACCAATGTTTCTATATCTAGAAAGTAAAATATTATCATTTGGTTCACTATCGGGATTTAAATACGATTCCAATAACTCTTCGTAAGTTTGATGCCCTAAAAGTTTTTTATAAGGTCGAACTTTTTGAAAAAAATCATCAGATGAAAGACTAAAAAATCTTACTAGAGGTAAACAATGTTGCAAAGTATTTTCCATCGTTTTGAAATCATCATCTGACCAAATTGTAGGATCTGGAAGAAGCGTAGGATTTTTTCCAAGTCCCCATTTTAATACATGTTCCCAAACTTCAACTTCCTTTATTTGTAAATCATCTCTTTTAATGAGCGAAACCAAAGACTTTTCAGAAAGAGAGGTAAAATCAAGTGATTTAAATATTTTTTCAGGAGATTTAGCCATAAAATCTATACAATATTGTTGGAGTTCTAATAAAGAATTAGATTGTGAACTTGTTCGGTAAATATGTTCAAAATATTGTTCCATCCACTCAGATTTATTTTCAATCAAATATTTTTGCAAATAATCAATTAGTTCTTTAAGAAATAGTTGATCAGCAGCAACCAAAACTTTTAAAATTTCAGAAGGTTCTTGTTCATTTAAAGAAATGATACCACCATAAATATATCTAAATAAAAAGAAAAAGATTTATGACAAATACTGAAATATGAAATATTCAAAATTATCTAATAAAATTAGAACATAACTTACCTTAAAATGATTTGAAAAATTTCTGGTGAAATATTTGAGAATTTAATGTGAGCCAAGACACTATTATCATTTTTTTTGTTAGAAGACAAAGTTCGACGTAAAAATGGAGAACGGTAACACAGGATAATCATGTGTGCACGAAATATTTTTACGTTTGGATCCTCTCCAACTTCAATAGTTATATCATAATATTCATCATCTTCCAAAATCCCTATATAATTTTGACTTAAATTTGGAAAAAATTGCTTGGACATATTTTTTATTAGATTGCAATGTGAAAAAGTGTAAGAGAGTAAATAAAAAAATTTTTTTAAAAATAAAGTTTGCAAATCCATTAAATATTGGATGTCGATCAGTTTACAAATTCCATGCAACTTACCATTTTAAATATTTTGTCCTACTATCATTACTGCAAAGTATTAATGATGCTTCATCGAATCTCTAGCTTTAACCTCATAGATATGAACAACGCCAACGTTCAAGATATATCTTTTTGGCTTCACATCATCGATCTTTACTGATTTCCAACAATCGAAGCAAGAAGCCATTTTATTTTATGAACTCTAGGTCGATAATAGGCAGAATTAACCATCTTACCTTCTCCAAATCCCACAAATAAGCAGAATCGATGATATAAACTATAATTTGTGATTGTTAAATACAACCAAGAAGTTAAGGTCTGACCATTGTCTGACCAGGTTTCACAACTGATAATGCGTCAAATTCCTTTCCCGCTTCGGTTAATCTATTATTTCTACCATAATAAGCCCCAATCTAGAAAATTTACTCTAGTAATATGCACGAACATAATCCATATCATATCCGGGACGATAATTGATGGGTTTAGGAAGATTCCGAGTCGGATCACCTATAACGATATTGTTACATAATTCTTCATTAGTATGATATTTACACATTTTGGTGTTTTAAAGTGATTTGTTTCAAGTATATACATTAGAATAAACTTATTCATTTTTCGTGAGTTGCATCAGTGTTCATTAAATTCAACCTTCCAAAGCCTGAGTTCGTTAGCCTCTACTCTATTAAAATTTTGGTTTTTCGTCTTTATAGCCTCTTTGAGGTGGCTAACCAACTTTTCACTATCAATAACTACAGCGAAATCCATGATAACATTATAGACGTTTTTGACTCATATACTGGTTTTTACGAAATGTTATTGGTACAAACTAGCGATATGTGAGACCAAGAGTAAAAAAGTTTTATTTGAATTCATCTATTGTACAGATCCTGTCGTATGACGCATTTATTTTGTAACACAGGAGTAAATACATGTGATTCGACAAACATCTTCCGAGCTGTTGATCGTTGCTCCGGATAGTTAGCTATGACGTCCCCAATCGACCTGAAATCCCGTCCTATTGCCGGACTATGAAAATGAAAATTCGATCGGAATTAGTACCTTTCACTCGTCTGTCTAACCCACGAAAAACGAATATATTTACTTTAATATATATACTTGAAACAAATCACTATAAATCGTTAAATCGCAAAATCGGCTATAAGACTACTAAGATTCGCAAAAATGGTTAAAACTGTTGCGATTACAGCGGAATGAACCCTCGCAAGAATAAAATAAAAGGAGAGTTTATCAATTTGCATCTGAAAAATGATAATGAAATGCCAAAAATGTAGTGTTCTCGAATCCGTACTTCGACTAAAAAGATTCTTGAGGAAAACCCAGATTTCCTTTCTAAGAATCAATATATTCGGATGCTTGTAAAAAGTTATTATGACGGAGAACTTTCACAATGTAGAAAAGAAACAAATTATATTGGGTATTGCTAAATCTCACCGCAGGTGATTTTCACCGCACCAGCATTAGCAAATATTAATGGGCGGAGTTTCATGGCATTTTTAATTCTGCCCAAAATATCCAGGATAGATAACGCAAAATTATAAGATTGGTTTTCATATCATAATTTGCTTTTTTGGCCCGACCGTCCAGGTTTTTATATCAATAAAATTTAAATTTATTATAACTATCCGATCAATAATTTCATATGTTAAAAATTTCGTATTGCGAATTTATAATAAATCATAGTTAAATGATACCATAATTATTAAAATAGTCTTGATTTTGACATGAAAAATCAATTGAATATTTAATAATTAAAGTTGCCAATTATTTTTTTTTTTTTACATTTATATAACGTTATAAAATTTCACTTTAAAGCAAGCATGTTCTATCATATTAGAAATTATCATACGCCATAACATGAGATTAAAAATTATAGCATCGGATAAATTATATATTATATATTATTTATTATTGCTGTTAGTAGGAGGAGTTATTCATTTTGCAATAAACACTATTATTTAAAAGTAAAAAGTTATATTGCAATTATTAAAAGTATTTCCTTGTAAGAATTTTTAATAGTCTTCATCTATATTAAAATAAAATTTGTTAAAATAAACTTATATAGACTATTGATAAACTTTTCTATTATGGTCAGGTCGTACAATAATAATATACTTATTTTACATAGTTTTCATGTATTAATGGATGATCGGCTTTTGCCACTGACATGACAAAATTTTAACCAATCACTATTAATGCACATGAACAGACATATCCTTTAAACAGAATTTAAATTTTCTGTTAGGAAATTATCTCACATGTATTTTCTCTTAATAGGCAATTTCCCAAGTCTACAGTTACTCTTTATTTTCACCGTTTACGTACACTTTTAAAAGATAAATTATTGGCGCTTAAAAATAAATTAACGTCCACTTCAGATAATAATAGAAAACTACGACATATGTCAGATTTTATACAAAAATATAAAAATAGACGTGTTTTTCCATTTTTAAAGGTTGACAAATAAATAAATTAAAATTGAACGAATAATCTTAGATTAATTAAAATTTATTTAACCATTTTGCTCATCCATTAAAAAAAATTTACTAATTGTAAGGTATAAGGCTTACGTGATCTACCTTGGATTTTTCATATACTGCAATAATCCTTATGAGGGATTTAATCCTAATTCTCAAAAGACATTTCAAGGTTCATGTAATTATGCCCATGTTATGTCAAATTCCTGATTTCGATGTAAAAGAACATGAAAAGAACATTAATCAAACGCACTCAAGCAATATAATCCCACGTGATCCTTGTTTTTAAACATGACCAATTAAAAGAACTTTATTTCCGATAACAACAAAAAGAAGAAGGTCCCACTAAAGAAATTCACAACAAATGTTATGGTGTTAGCTATATCATTAACATATGACACTTCAAAACTGAACTGGAGGCAATGACTTACATCTGGGAAAGAGAAAAACTCCCAAGAAGTTACAGCGTAACTACTACAAAGTACAAACAATCAGAAAATTTTACAGGAGATGCTAAGATTTACTATAGAAAGGAACATGGGATCAACCTATTTGACGTAAACGTTAGAGCACACTACGAGCAAAGTAGCATAGAACAATTTTACCATGAGAAGATTACACCATTGGTATTTCTTTTTGTAACAAAAAATTAGTTCTCTAGTGATTAATTATAACAAAATACTTTTTTATAATTCTAATTTATAAATAGATGACATCATACATCTCCTATTTAGGTGATACTTAAAAATATAATTTATTTATTAATATTGTAAATGATTATTTATATAATCATATTCATTAATATGTAAAACATCATAATTTTGAACTATAATATTATGTAATTTAAATTCATTTACTTCATCTTTTAAAAAAAACAAATCACTTTCATCCGCATTATCGTCAAGACTTAATATAGCCAAATATTTAAACCTTTCCTTCTTCATAATATATTTCTTAATACAAAATGAAATATTTCCAATTTCATCCATTACTATATTTCTAATTAATAATTTCTCAATAAAAGTATTTTGTGAATTTTTTAAAAATATTTCCAAATCACTTGTCTTAATAGAAAGAGTTAAGCATAAATATTCTAATTTAGAAGGAAGAACCTGACCTAAATTTTGTAATACAGTTGAACTCAATTTATTATAAACAGTATAATGATCGATATAATCCACTTTAATAGTAAGATAATTAATATTATTATGTTGATTATTTTCAATGAATAAGTAAATATTATCGTAATTAGGTACACCTGATTCAAAATATCTAATCTTTTTACAATATTTCATAATAAATTCAAATAATTGTTGTTTTGATTCATTATATTCTTCATTCATAAACCCAAATCCAAAATTTTCTAAACAATCACTAAATTTCTGTAATAGTAATAATAATGATTCAATATGTAATATTTCTTTAATAAACAAAGATTTCAACTTAAAAGGTTTAATAACCTTGATTATTTGTTGAATAAGCTCAAAATTTAAAGAATAACAATAAATAATATGAAAAGATTCTAAAACATTCAATTGATTAAAAACTTCTTGAAAAATATTAACTATACTCTCAAAATCAATGGAAAAAAATATAATTGTATTTAAAGTATTAGAACAATTAGAATCTTTTAATGATAAAAATGGGTTGGTATTATATTCAAATGAAATTTTTTGAAGATTATGTTGGGAAATAATTATTTGTGATAAATATTTTTCAATTAATGAATAATTATTAATTCTATTTTTAGTAAAAACAATAGATAAGATTGATTTGCATTAGAGCATAAAAATGTCAAAAATGGAATGTAATTTTGAAAAATAATAGGATTAAAATTTAATTTTAAATTTCTGATATTGTATGTAAAATTTGGATTTTGTAAAATCAAATCCATATTATCCCCAAAATAATAATGATCAACACTCGTATTCAGTATAACTTCAAAAGACTGTAAATTTCCTTCATTTTCAATAAACACTTCAAATAATGACCTATAAATTAACTTTCCTAACTCATTATTGTACCCATCAGCTAAAGTACTATTCCAATATTTAATAGAACGACAAATTTTTTTTATATCCAAGTATTTAATAAAACTAGGATAATTGAATAGTGTATTTGAAAGTATTAAATTATCATTAATTTCATATTCATTAAGTTTTGCTTTGCTGTCTTCACTTAAAAAGCAAAAATAAGTTTTAATACAATGATGATTTTGAGTAGGAGCTGAAAATGGATCTTCCCATAATAATGGAATTGCTAGACGACACCATAATCTATTAACTAAAATACATGAATATAATGTTGAAAAATCTTTTCTAAAATACTGTATAATTTCTTCTGTTAATTCAGGTAAATCTCCTGAAAATATTTTTGAACATGCCATGTTTGGATTGTTTGGTAAAGGAAAAGGAGAAAAGAAGTTTGCTTTCATTTTTTTCGGCGTTGTACAATTTTTATTTAGTATTCCATAAAAAGACAACAAATAACATGTAAATCATTCCTATTTCATCCTCTAACCAATAGACTTGAGAAATGATGTATAAGATTTAGATCCTTTGTCACTCATTCATATTTAATTTATATATTTCTAGAATACAATATTATTGTAATATTTTAGCAGATTACAACATAAAAAATTATTTTTTTTTTCTTTTAATAAAACGTTCATTTTTAAAGATGAACCAACTTATATGACGGCGCCTTTACCCACGTCAAGTTGCCAAATATCTTACCAAATTCTTATAAAGTAACATTTAGTTTTCAATAATAACTTGGTTATTTTATAGCAAGTTAATTTAATAATAATACAGATATATTTATGGTGATATCATTTTATTAAATGAGTATGAATTTCAGAAATTTTGTATTGACAGCTGCTAATCAAATAAGAATTAGTTGATTATTTGCAATATAATAATTCTTTATTAAAATTTGAATAATATTGTATATAAACTGCATAATCAAATCTTTCTCAAGTCGCTTTATTTTACTTTAAATAGAATTTGAAAACAAGTATTTCAAATTATAAGAAAGCTAATTAAAACTATATAATTATATACATTTTATAAATTCACAATTGTGTCAAGCTGTCAACTTATTTTATCAAACCATTATCCAAATGTATGTTAAGTTTATGATTCTTTTTTTTTTTTTTGGTATACTGTAATAAGAACCATATGATAATATGATATACTTTGAACATTAGAAATTTAATAGCAAATAAGTGATTCTAATTTACCAATTTTATATCATAACAAAATTTAAATGACAAATATAATCTCGTACTCGCAATGTGTATACAGAAAATAAATTATTCCTTTAAAATGGAGAAAGACATCATTTCAAACAATGAGTCAACATAAACAATATAATTGGTATTATATATAGGACCGTAAACATGGAATATAGGAAAATGTTAGATTCTCCAATTTATTAAATTATAAGAATATTAATTTACGCCTGAAGTAATAATGTAAATGTAAATTAAAAAATTGTGTGTCAAAATACTAAGTAATTGCCAGAACTTATTTAATATTGTAAGTTATTTGTAGTCTATAATAATAAACAGTATCAAACAAGTAAACTGGAGTGAAAATACAATATTATGGTTTTGTAAATAAAATGCTTCATATTTAGTGAATCCATAATTATTACATTTAATTATTCAATTTAAATATACTAAAATATAATAAATTATAAAGTTTATTTAATATAAAATAAGCAAAGAAAATTAATTATTTGAGTATTGATCATCTTTCTCTATAATTTGAAATACTTCATAATCTTCTATTGAAAACTTATCTTCCGTATCTCTTATCTTTTTTTCATAACTTCGTTGTAAACATCTTAAATATTCATATTCTTTTGAATCTTCCATCGCAATCATATCAAAATCATCAGTACCGAATTTAGGTCCAACATTACTACCGCAAAACAACGCATGATCCGAATCTTTTATACGACTTAAAATTGAATCTTTAAAATTATTTTTACTTTTAAAAGAAAATATAAAACTATCTTTGGTTTTAACAAATTTACCATTTGATTTCCATTCTAAAGGATTATATCCTCCAATAATTTCTTCTGTTTCTTTTATTTTAGCAAATGTTACAGTATAAAGTTTGTTATCACATAATTTATGAAACTTTCTAGGAGTGAATCCATCTCGGCTTCCCCTTAAGAGTAATTTAAATTCATATGGTAAATATAATTCTCTTGCATAAGCATATTTGCTTTTAATATCAATTTTATCAATCCATCTAGAAATTAAAGATGCAATATTTAAATTAACAATTTTTGAATCAATAATTCCATCAATATTTCTAGATCGAGGAAGTAAAATATTATAATTTGGTTTACTATTAGGATTTAAATATGACTCTAATAACTCTTCATAAAGTTGACGTTTTAAAAGTTTTTTATAAGGTCGAACTTTTTGAAAGAAATCTTCCGAAGATAAACTAAAAAATCTAATAAAAGGTAAACAATGTTGTAAAGTATTTTCCATCATTTTGAAATCATCATCTGACCAAGCAGTAGGATCTGAAAGAAGTGTAGGATTTTTTTCAAGTCCCCATTTTAATACATGATCCCAAATTTCAATTTCTTTCATTTGTAAATCATCTCTTTTAATAAGCGAAATCAATGATTTCTCAGAAAGTGAGGTAAAATCAAGTGATTTAAATATTTTTTCAAATGAAACTTGTACAATATTGTTGAAGTTCTAATAAAGAATTAGATTGAAAACTTGCTTGGTAAATAAGTTCAAAGTATTGTTCCATCCACTCAGATTTATTTTCAATTAAATATGTTTGCAAATAATCAATTAATTCTTGAAGCAGTAGTTGATCAGCAGCGACCAAAACTTTTAAAATCTTTGAAGGTTCTTGTTCATTTAATGAAATAACACCACCATAAATGTATCTAAATAATAAAAAATGTAATAAATATAAAATATTTAAAATACTAATAAGAATTAGCAATATAAACTTACTTTAAAATAATTTGAAAGATATCTGGTGAAATGTTTGGTAACTTAACATGAGACAAGACACCATTATCATTCTTTTTGTTGGAAGCCAAAGTTCGTCGTAAAAATGGAGAACGGTAATACAGAATAATCATATGTGAACGAAATATTTTTACATTTGGATCTTCACCGACTTCAATAGTAATATCATAATATTCATCATCATTCAAAATCTCAATATAGTTTTGACTTAAATTTGGAAAAAATTGCTTGGACATTTTCTGTTAAATTATAATATGAAAAAGAATAAGAAAGAAAACAACTTTTTTTTTAATAATAAAGTTTGCGAATCCCCATTAAATGTTGGATGTCACAAATTCCGTGCGACTTACCATTTTAATATTTGCCATTATTGTGAAGTATACAAGTAGCGCTTCGATCCGGATTGATCCGTTAATTAGCATCACAACATTTTTCTATTATTTTTGTCAAACTATAATTTTTGTCAGATTTAAAAAAATTATCCTTCCACAAATTTTATTAATTTTGGCCAAACTTATAGCTCCAACTCATGCCAACCCGTAGTAAACCGCGGATCGATCCGTTAAAAACCCATCCGGATCGAAGCACTATATACAAGCAGTCAAAGTATTAATTCAAAAATTTTTAATTTTGATTTTGATTATTCAAGACGAAATCTTTGTGATGTTTCACCAAAATCGATTTTACTATCAAAATATCCTATGAACTTAATTAAAATAATGAGCAATCTTGTCTATTTTATCTGGGTGATGTAAGTAATAATTAAGTAATCATTTAATTAAAACATTGTTAAAATTATATCAATTTGTTATATGGAAAACTATAAAAGTCAATTTTATGAGGAATTATTAGAAGAATTTTTCTAACTATCACCGGGGTGATGATCACCTGTGACTGAAATTATGACGATCGACCAGCATTAAAAAAATATAGTGCCGGTAAAAATTGATAATTCTGACCTCCAGTAAAAAACTTATTAGAATCTAGAAATTATTTGTTAATTTAATAGTTTCTTTAATTTCGAAAGTGGATTGATAAAATTGGTATGAACCAAACCCTAATCCATTGGGGCAGTAATTCGGGCCAATTTTATAGCGCTAGCCAGAATAATGTTTTAAATTTATTGTTACTTCCGGTTTTAAAAATTTTTTTTTTTTTTTTAAAAAAAAAAAAATAGCAACGCATTTTTATTTATTTATTTGGTGTATAAAAACACTCATAACACATAGAGGTACCGTCAGACAACGATAACCCTATAACTAACCAGTCTATCTATAACAGATAATAAATAAAATACAAAACTAAATAAAATAACACCATATGGCCATCCAAAAAAATAAAACAAAAAATATTTAAAAAACTAAACTATAACACCAACTGACGTCGCTCTGGAAAACGGAACACACAACCTACCGACTCCAACTAACTACCTACCCTTCATTACGGGCTCCCGGCAGTAAACCATGCATTCCCTCCCCATCATGACCGACCTTTCCCTAGCCAGGTCACAAAACTGAAACCTCCATGATTGGGATACTGTGCGTACTCCCGCCGAGGAAGTAGACGCATCACGAACACTACCGAGAAGTTAACCTTGAGCAGATGAGTCCAGCTAATCCAAAAATCCGGTCCGATAACGTATGGAGAATACTGATGACGTCTTTTGGTGATCGGAGTGTGGCAAAGTATTGTGTTACACAAGATTTGTGATTCTGGTCGAATTATAACTTGGCCAGATTTATGCCGATCACATTTAATTCTGGACAGAATTATCAAATATAAACCAGATGGTTATTCGGTTTCAATCGGGTTTTGCGAAACCAGTTTGAAACAGATTGAACCGGTTGCACCCGTTTTAAATCGGTTTTCGAAAATAGAACCGGTTCCAAACTCTAATGTGTGGTTCATAATTTGCGAGACTACGTGACCGCTGATCGATTGCGCCATTTCTGTCGAAACTTATTGGTGCGGACGAGAATCCAAAACTTCCTAGTTTGTTGTTGTCAAATTTGTACTGCGCCACAGAACTAAAAAAATTCCCAAGAATCCCTAGAAATCCGAAGCCCAAAGACGGTCCAAGTCCAAGTCCACAAGTAGTCAAAGAGAAAAAAAGTTGTCTGTCTCCGTTCAAAACTTCTAGTTCACCGTCCGATACTTCTGTAGTTCAAAGAAACCTTGTATTTTGTAAGGTTTAGAACGCTTTTTGACCGCAGGTGAGTAAAATTCTTGCAAAAGGCCTAAAATACTTTTCTTCTTATCAACCCCCGAGAAAAAAGTCTCAAACCGAAGGTAAAGGAGTAAAAAATAAGTTGGTGTTATGTCTGGTGTCAAATACGAACTTTTGTTAAGGACCTTGTGAACTTTTCCGATTTTGTTTCGTCCTTAGACCAATGATCGTCGGAAAGTCCGGTCGGTTTTAAGAATTTGTTGGAACGGCTATCGCCAAAAAGCAATGATCATCTTATCGAGTCATAATTCTGGTCAGAATTATAAATTTGGCCGAATTCCGGAAAAACTCTATTTAAAAAAAAAAAAAAAAAAAAAAAAATTTCAATCACTTTTAATATCTTTCTTTATCTCAAGTCACGAAAAAGAAATTAAAAAATATTTTTATTTATTACCATTTATATTATCTTCGTTAATTTTATAATATGGAAAAAGAAACTTTTCAAATTATAAAAAGACCAGGTATTGGTAATGAAGGAGAGCCAATAAAAGTTCGAGCAAACTTCTTTGAAGTTACTAAGATGCAAAAAACGAAAATTATACATTATGATGTAACGATAAAACCTGAGGTACCCCCGCGATTAAATAGGAAAGTATTTAACCTTTTTTCGGAGAAAAACCAAGAAGCTCTTGGGGGTGTAAGACCAGTATTCGATGGTACGTATTCGGTAAAAAAAAAAAAATATTTTTCGTTACAAATATCTAAAACAAAATGAATGTAATTTTATAATATAGCGATACCAAATTGTATTACATACTAATTCCTTTTTTTAGAATATTATGCTATATGATGTCTAAATATATGCTTGTATTTAAAAGGGGGAAATTAATATTTACTAACCAATTGTAAATGTTTATAGGAAGAACAAATATGTTTACACACAAGCCATTACCATTTGAAGGCAAAAGTTTTGACGTAAAATATCTTGAAGTTTATTTTTACTTTTTTATGGCTTTGAAATTATTAACGTTAAGCTTAATTTATAATTAGGTAAAATTAGAGGAAGGTAACGTGCCCGTGGCAAGAAAACGTCCACCTGAAGATTTCAGAATTACAATAAGAAAAGCTAGAGATATTGACATGGAGGACCTATTCCAATTTTTATTCGCAAAAAGCAGGATGACTGAAAATTGCCAAATGGGTAAGTTTATTCCTTTCTTTCTTTCTTAAATAAGAATGAATCTCATAATAGATTATGTTCATATTTATGTAATAAGCAATAACGGCAATGGACATCATTATCAGTCACGAGATTTCTGCAAAATATCCTACTGTACGTAATTCATTTTACACTCCGCAGGGAGCTAGATCACTCTTTGGGGGTATTGAGGCTTGGCAGGGGTATTACCAATCAGCACGTCCTGCAAGGGGTAAAATGATGATAAACATAGACTTAAGTGCTACCGCCTTCTATGAAGAAGGTCCACTTATTCGGATGGTTGCAAAAATATTGGATCTTAGATCTCCCAATGATCTACGTAAAGGATTATCAGATAAAGACCGTCAAAAAGTTGAGAAGAGAATAAAAAATCTTAAAATAAGAGATAATCATAACCCGGAAAATAAACGAAAATTTAAGATTGAGAAATTAACTAAGACTCCAGCTTCTCATACTACGTTTGATAAGGACGGTAGTAGGATTGATGTGAAAACCTATTTTCAAAATCAATTCAATAAACGTTTAATATACCCATTTCTTCCTTGTGTTGTCGTAAGGAAAACCGTTTATCTTCCATTAGAAGTTTGTGACGTAATTCCGGTAATTATATATTCATCTAGTGATATCATATGATTATAAGAAATGTTTTTATTAAAAAAATTTGTTATTTCGTATAACAGCAACAACGATATATGCGGAAATTGGATAAGAATCTAACAGATGAAATGATGAAATTTACTCGTCAAAATCCGAACGTTCGGGCAAATAAGATCCATGATGGTCTCAATATATTAAATTATAAAGGTAACGAGTACCTTAAACAATTCGGGATGGAAGTATCAAAAGATATGGCTGTGGTAGGTTTGAAATATTATTGTTGCATCATAGGAATATTTTTAATAACAATAATTTATAGGTGAACGCTAGGATTCTCCCTACTCCAACAATTCAATACCATCAGTCGTCAAGGGAGCATCGTGTCCGGCCGAATGGTGGAGCGTGGAATTTACGAGATAAAAAAGTAGCAAATGGTGCCACCCTCAGCTCATGGTCAGTTATGGTCTTTTCTAATTATAAGCACTTACCTGATCAAGCTATTAAGTTTTTTGTGAGAGAATTAGTTAATACGTGTCAAGATACTGGAATGGTAAGTTAAATGATATCAACCCTTTTTGTATGAATCATTCAAGTTTCTAATCATATATAACAGAACATTTTAGATAGAGATCCTCCTATATGTCGCGGAAATCCTATAGGAAATATTGAGGAATCATTAAACAAAGCCTATTTGAATGCTAAAGAAAAGGCGAGGGTAATTAAACCACAGCTTATTCTTTGTATTCTCCCAAATGCTGGACCAGAATTATATGCCGAAATTAAACGTATTAGCGAAACAGCTATTGGTGTCGCAACACAGTGTATCCAAAGTATACATATGAAAAACCCAAAAAAACAATATTGTGCGAATGTTTGCCTAAAGATGAACGTTAAACTTGGAGGAGAGAATTCATTTCTCATTCCCGAACATATTCAATTTTTGATAGATGATCCTACTATTTTGATGGGCGCAGACGTTACTCATCCTACGGCGACTGGTAAATTGTAATTTTTTTTTTTTTCACACGAATTATTTTACTAATATATTTATGTTTTTTGCATCTCTTCAGCCGATGATGAAAGTCCATCTTATGCTGCCCTGTGTGGTTCCATGAACGTTAAGGCATCACGTTATGCAGCGTCACTTAGGGTTCAAACCGGCGGTACCGAAATAATAATAGATTTGGAAAATATGGTTAAGGAATCGTTAAAAGCATTTTATCAAACTTGTGGGTTAAAACCCAAAAAAATTTTATTTTACCGAGACGGAGTTTCAGAGAGTCAATTTATGGAGGTATTAGAATGTGAACTAACCGCGATTAGAGGTAATTGAAACATATTATTCTTAGATTTATTCATGCTTTTCGTTAATCTATTTAATTACTACAGCCGCGTGTCGAAGTCTTGAGGCTAGTTATAAACCCAATATCACGTTTGTTGTGGTGCAGAAGAGACACCACACACGTCTTTTCCCAATTCATGGCGGCGATAGAACGGGAAATTGTATTCCTGGCACTGTTGTTGATATGGACATTACACATCCATTTGAATTTGATTTTTGTAAGTAATTAAATTGTACATTGATGTATAAATTCTGTAGCATTTCTAAATGACTTTAAATCCTTACCAGATTTATTAAGTCATGCTGGACTGCTGGGAACGTCTCGGCCAGCCCATTATCGTGTTTTATATGACGAAAACGGGTTTGATGCAAATAGGTAAGTCAATTTAATCTAATTTAATAATAATTGATATGCGTAACTAATATATAATTAATAATTTAGGTTACAAATGTTATCTTATAATCTTTGTTATGTATATGCGCGTTGTACACGTGCAGTATCTTTGGTAAAGTTTTAAATTACATTTTTTATCATTTTATGTAGTAAATGATAAATATCTTATTGTATTTAAATAGGTACCTCCGGTATATTACGCCCATTTAGCTGCTGCTAGGGCAAAAATTCACTCACCCTACCGTGATACTGATACTGAATCATCCAAAGGCGACAAAAGTACCGCGACCACAATTGGAGAGGTAAAGGGCGAGCTACGAAAGGTAAATTAAAGATATCTCAAATGTTAATTATTCCCAATTATCTCATTTCTATGACAAACTTCTCTTTTAGGTTATGTACTTTATGTGACAACTTCGTTTTTGTTATCTGAGATGAAAAATTTACCTTACTTTATTTTATAAACAATATATATTCATATCGATATTTGATTCAAAAAAAACATATTTTAAATTTTAAATTTTATTTATTGATTTATTTCGGGTTAAAAATATTGTATATGGTATTTAAACCAAAATAAAAAAGGATTTTCTTATATTTATATCGGAAATTGGCCTTATAGAATATAATTGCCAACTGTTACAAATAGTGTTGTGTTAGTAAGTAAATTTAAAAATTGTTTTATTTCTATGTATTTCTTAAATGTGCTTTAAAGAACTAAATTTAAACGATTAATGAAGACATGCGCATTAGGCGTTAGTGCGTTACTAAGTACTAACCAAAAAAAAAAAAAACTAAAAGATTTGGACACTGTAGAATCATTTAATCGGCAATTTTGCAGTATGATATATTGCATTTAGTTCAATTAAACAAAAACATTATGCAAAATTTTATACAGATGCACTATTGATTTTCTTTCTTGTCTTTGTGGTAACAGCATATTCTTATTATGAGCTTTCTTAATTATTTGCGGCAATAATTCTATTAAATAAAATCTTGGAAGTCAATAAAAATCCGTAAAAAAAGTTGGAATGCTTAAAGTTATTACGTCACGTACTAACAATTACAAAAATTTTTATAATTTTTTATATAAAAAAAGTCGAATAAGATAATTTACTATATGAATCTATATTTTAACTATAATTGGATTAAATTGTGGTTTAGATTAATTATAGTCTCGTGATATATTATTAACGGCACTTTATTAATGTTAATATTATAAATTTGATCTTAACGGCAATTAATAATTAATTATACGAGGAAAAGAAAGATTTTATTAAAACTTAATTTACCAATTAACTTATCTGTTATATTATACTAAGCATTTTAACGTTTCGTAAGCTACACATGATTGAGTATGTGAAATTTACTAAATTAAATCAAATTCTGAAAGTATTAATTTTTTTTTTATTAGTTAGAATTTTGATTTTTTTTTCTAATGATCTGCATAATAATACGAATGCAGTAATTAATAAAACTGCGCCTAATTATTAAGCATGTTACACAATTTATTGACATCAATTGTGCGACCAATATCGGAATTATCACTCCGAAAATTGAATATAAATTCAACTCAGTTTGGTCTTACAAATAAAATGGTACACTACTTTTCATTTACAATATGTCATGCTCGAAAATATTTTCAGGAGATTTACCTGAATTAACAAATGAAATCATCAAAAATTTTCAGAATGATTATTCAACCTTACATTCATGTATTTTAGTTAATAGATTATGGTGTCGTTTGGCGATTCCATTATTATGGGAAAATCCATTTTCAATTTCTACTGGAAATTATAATTTTATTGAAATTTACTTGTATAATTTGAATGATCATTTAAAAACAAAATTAAATGAATATCAAATAATTGATTGTTTATTACCTTCAAATACCCTTTTCAATTATCCTAGTTTTATAAGATATTTGAATATACGTAAAATTACTCCTTCTATTGAGAAATGGTTAGAGGCTAATGATGTAACTTCAAAATTCAGTAATATATATTTTTTACCTAATTTAATTTTGGAATCAGTATTAGAATTTAAAAGATTGATTAATATGTCATTAATTAAATTATTTATTGAAAATGAAGTAAATTTACATACTTTTGAAATTGAGATAAACACATATAATAGCGAATATTGTGATAACATTCTTGAAATGATTTTACAAAATCCAAATTTCATTAACAAAATTGGAAATTTAAAAGTTTCTATTTTATGTTCTAATACGTTAACTGATAATCGTGTATCACAAATAATTAATTCACATCAAAATCTTAAAAGAATTTTATTAGGTTATGATAATTTATCTTTGTATCAATCATTATTATTATCAAAAGAATCTAGTTGTTCAAATACCTTAAATACAATAATTTTCTATTCCATCAATTTAAATGGTATAATTAATTTAGTTAAAGTATTTGAAAAATTAAATGTTTTGGAGTCTGTTCATATCATTTATTGTTCTTATTTAGGTAATTTTATTCAACACATTATTAACTTAACCAAACCATTTAAATTGAAATCTTTATTTATAAGTGGGAAATTGCAAATTGATTTGTCACAAGCACTATTACAAAAATCTGGGAATTATTTAGAAAATTTCGGATATGAGAATTATTTTGAAGGCTCTGATTATGTTACTATTTATAATCAGTCATTTAAACAACAATTATTAGAATTAGTTATAAAATATTGCAGAAATATCAAATTTCTTGATTTAGATAGATTTAAAATTCACATTACTTCTCCAATATTCGATTTAATTGAAAATATTAAACAAAAACTTAATTATCTTTCAATCAGTGTAAGGAATTGTGAAGATAGTAATATTAATTTAATATTACAAAATTTAGGAAAAACACTACCTTCTAAACTTGAATATTTAAATTTAATTCTTTACATTGAAGCAAAAGATTTTGAAGTATTTTTAAAAAATTCTCAAGATATTTTCTTTAAGAAATTGTTAATTAATAATGTGATGCGAGAATATAATGAAAATATTAATATTTTACCTTATATAAAAGAATATATTATGAAGAAGAAAAGAGTCAAATATTTGGCTATTAAAAATACTTTAATTTCAAGATATAATAGGTATAATAGGTATAATAGAAAAAATGTAGATTTGTTTAATTTGAAAGATGAAGTGAAGGAATTTAATTCACATAATATTAAAGTTCTAGGATATGCCAATTTATCTACTGATATTTATAAATTTGTAAATGAAAATAATTAATTATTTAGTTGTTATTTTAGTTGCTTTATCCTAAAATAAATATTTTTTAAGAAATTTTTATTATCTATGACAATTTTATAAATTAGTTCAACAATAATGTACTAAAAGGAGAGTGAGTTTTTGTACAGTACGTCTCAAATCACAAATTAGTCATTGCTCCACTACAATTTATTATTATACAATATGATATCATAATTTTCATTATGTATTTTAGGTATTTTTATCACATAATAAAATGAATAAATAAAAAATAAAAATAATAAAAAATTGAAATAATAATGACAAGCTATTCATTTTTTTTACATAATCATCCGTTAATCGGATAAAGTATTAGCCTAGGCCCTAGGCTCATAAAAAGGATTACATCTGTCAGTTGTTCATTTTCATATATTCGTAACCTTATTTTTTTTTTTGTTTGTGTTGCGCGAGAAATGTTAAACGATTTTTTCAGGTTTAAGTCAAAATTATATAGAGATTTTGGAAGATGATGAATATTATGATATCACTATTGAAATTGTGAAGACCTAAACATAAAAATATTTCATGCACATATGATTATTGATTATTCTGCATTACCGTTCTCCATTTTTACGCCGGATTTCATCCTCCGTCATAAAAATGATAATAATGGTGTCTTGTCTCACGTTAAATTGTCAAAGTATTTTTGCTAGAAATTTTTCAAATTATTTTAAGGTAAGTTACACTCTAATTTTTATTTGCATCTTAAATATTATATTTGTTATAAATTTTTTTTTTTAGATATATTTATGGTGGTATCATTTCTTTAAACGAATGAAATTATAAAAGTTTTGGTTACCGCTGACCAACTACTACTTTGATTATCTACAAAATTATTCGATTGAAAATGAATCTAAGTGGATGTTCATAAAATAATTTCTTAGAATTCCAATAATATTATACAAATTTTATAGCTAAAACTCCTGAAAAAATATTTAAATCACCTCTTTCCGAAAAATCTTTGGTTTTGCTCATTCAAAGAGATTGATTTACAAATGAAAGAAATTGAAATTTGGGAATATGTATTAAAATGCGGACTTAAAAAAAAATCTTACACTTCTTCCGGATCCTACAACTTGGTCAGATGACGGACTTCAAAATGATGAAAAATACTTTGAAACACTTGTTTACCTTTTACGAGATTTTTTAGTATTTCATCTGAAGATTTTTTTCAAAAAAATTCAACCTTTTAATAAACTTTTAAAGCGAAGAATCATTATGAATACTTCGAACAGCAGTATGATCTGTTCTTAGAAAAAATTAGAACATTTAATAATAAACTGAGTAACAAATAAATGATTCTAATTTTACATATTATATCATGATTTTTATGCAAAAAAAAAATTTAAATGACAATTAGTAATTAACAGAATTGAATAACAGTTATTTTCAAATGTAATTTTTTACTCACTATGTGTATACAGAAAAATACAAAATTACTTAAAAGTCGAGTATATCATTTAAAATTCACGTGAGCGAATTTTCTTTATTATGATTAAATTTATATAAGAAAGAATTAAGAGACGCAAAAATTTTCTTTCTTAGTAAATGGCGACCCAATATAAATTACTACATACGAAAATTATTCCTTTATAATAGACATGCGTGATATTATTTATTAATAGAATCTCAAATATACTATTAATGCTGTAACCACCCAGACACCCACTCGGCCAGCGAATGTATACATTAAAAGAATCAATGTTTATTCATCTATTAGAAACTATAAAATCATTAACTTTAAACTGCTATGTAAAAAATTAATATACTATATAAATACTATTTAAATCCATTGTCATACCTCACTAATCAGCACGTAGTAAAACTTAGTTTTTCTGAAACTTTAGTGTCTTGAGCGTCATATTCAGTTGTCTCACTCAGTTAATCCAGTTAATTACGAAAAATAAATAGAGGTTTTATATATTAATAATATAAACGTATATAAAGCGGACGTGACACGCATGTCGTATATAGACGCTTCCCTTCAGTAAATACCTGATATATCGTAATGTTTTAAATGGAAAACTTATAAATTATAAAAGATTTTTTCATATCAGAGTAGCAACTTATTATAAGCTAAACTTTTTATTAAAATTAAACATTCTATTTTTAGATATTCATCCTTAAAAAAGAAATATTATGGATATTTTTTATATTACAATTTTTAACATATATAATGTTAGTTTATCAATTTAACTTTCTTCTATCAATCCTATGTACATTAAAATCAAATTTAAATTTGTCTAAAATATTTTAATGGTATAAATTTCTGATGTATATATATTTAATAGTTACAGTATTTACGATCATCGTAAGTGATCCATTACTGCGTCTTTAGACAAATAATAATTTTTTTTTTTTTTTTTTTTTT